TCCCTTCCCCACTTCAGAGCAGCCCCCTTTCAGGTTCCTCAACTGGGCCTGAGGCACGCCCCACCCCAGTCACACCCAGGGAGCCAGAGAGGGAGAAGCTCTGGATTAGGCTCCAAGGGCTGTCACAAGCGTGGAGGGAAGTGGGGCTCTGAGATGGGGAGGCGGGGAGGCCTGGAGCACTGCTGGTTGTAAAAGTGGCTCTGCCCTTCGGAGGTGAGGAGTGACCTCTAGGGACCCCCTCGCCTCCATCCTGCAGATCTAAGCTGGACAGGACACCAGGCTCGTTTCCTGGGGGACAGACAATTCATGGGTGCTTCCTGGGGACCTTTTGGGGCCCACAGGTGGTCATTTAGAAGAAGAGGTAGAGGAGTGGCAGAGATGTGACTGAGGAGGTAAGGACCTCCTGCTGGGCCCCTCAGGGCAGTTTCTAGTCTCCTGGACAGCAGTTCCTTGGGCTGGTTCTCCTTGAGCTCCCTCCACTGTGGGAGGGGAGGCCTGGGGGACAATGAAATGAAATGCGTGCATGTGCATCTGCTTTGTGGTTCTAGAGCTTTCTAGTTTCTAGAGGTGGGGAGAGTATCCCGATCTGGAATCTAAGCACCAGACTTGACCCCGACTGCCATCACCCCTGTGGGCCTGCTTTCCTGGGGAGCAATGTGAAGCCAACGCTTGCTGGGCCAGGGAGGGGTGGCAGTGTGCTCAGCATGTGGGTGGTGTGGTTGAAGCGACCTGTTAGCTGGAGGTCACAAGAGCCTGAAGCAGAGCTGTCCATGGGGCCGTGGGCCTGCCCCTCAGGGCCAGAGGCAGCATGTGCCTTCATCTGCTTCTCGGTGAGCCCTGGCTCCCCCCACAGTGAACTGTCCCTGCCATTCATCAAGGCCAGTCAGTGGCCTGGAGAGATGAGTGTTGCTGGAGGGGTCTGGACCCGCTCTGGTCTGACTGGCCAGGCTTTGCCATCTTCTCGGTCAGGGCAGAAGTCCATGCTCATGCCCAGACTTTAGGCAGCCTTTTCCTGGCTCCTATGGACCTCTACACACCTGGCAGGTGCCAAGCTGGCCTTTTCACCTCTGGCTGAAATGGGTGTCAAATGTTCCCCCTTATGTGATAAAGCCATGTTGAATTGAGGCCTCTTGCTGCGTCACAGTGTGTTGGCCATGTGGGGTCCTGGGTTGAGTCAGTTCCCTGCCTTCAGAGCTGCTCTGGAGCCCCCTCCCCCTGCCAGCCCGCAGCTGGGATTGGAGGCCAGGCAGATGGAGCCTCCTTTGCGGAGCCTTGACTTCCCTGGGCTGAGACAGCAACAACCGTGGAATGTTTGCTCTCCTCCTCCCGTTATCTGTGAGGTGACCGGAAGGGCTTTGTGGAGGCAGTGTCCTCCCCGTAGCCTTGTGGGCCCCTGGCCAGAGTGCTGTCCCTGTTCCCAAGTAAAGATGGGGAGGGCGGAGAGGGGGCAGGAATAGGCTTCAGTCTTGGCCTGTTTCAGCTCCACGTCAGTTTTCCTTGATGTCACCTAGGTGCTCATCTTCTGAGGAGGCTTTGAGGGGTCCTTGCCCAATGTGGGGGAGCTCTGAATCGGGGGGCATGGGCAGTGAGGAAGAGCCGTAGTTGGTCAGATGCACAAGGTCTCAACAGGCCCACCTCTCCTGCCTTCTCTCCCTCATTCTTCAGATGCTACTTTGTCACCTGAATGGAAAATGGGTCAGGTCCTGGCAAGGGAGGGGCAGCCTGAGCTGCAGACAGGGTGACGCTGGGCGCCTGCCTGGAGCGCAGGGCTCAGATTCCCGCTTGTGCTCCTTGAGCCCAGAGGGGCCTAGTCCCCTCCCTGCCTTGGGCTCACTGGAGCAGGCTGGTGGCCAAGCCTCCGGACAGAGTGGGCCGAGATCAGAGCTGATGCTATGGCTCCAAACAGGTGTCTGACAAGTGCCTGTCGTTGCAATAGTCCCTGTTCCACCCTGTGGTCTCTGACCTGGGGAAGCGGCCCACCAGCCACCAAGGAGCAGTGACAGCGCAGCAACTCCTTGGGGGGAAGGGCGGAAGGAGGAGGAACAAAGGCGATCGTGCTGGCGCCGCCTCCCTGCCCGCCCACCATGTGTCAGTCAGAGGCGAGGCGAGGACCAGAGCTCAGCTCGGCGAAATGGTGAGATGCTGCCAGCGGCCTCCTAATCCTGCTGTTCCCCGCCACGACCTCCACAAGGTCAGAGTTCATGTCCAGCGACCCCGCAGTGGAGGTGGCAGCAGGGGCCCTGGGGCTCCCCCAAGGTTGGAGGGGCCCGGCCCTGGGGGCCTGAGTCGGAGAGCCCACTTCAGGTACTGGGGAGGCGGAGCGGGCTGGTGGCCCGGTGTCTGTGCTGCACCTAAACTGCTACTCCCCCACCTTCGGGTGCCCCCACCCTGCTTGGGTGCAGCTCTTCTGGGATTGGTCCTTTTGCTTCTGCAGTGAGCAGGGCAGGTGGGGGCAGTGGGAGGGGGGAGCAATGATTTGTCTGGCTTTGCTTGGGCCCCCCACCAACCGGACCTTTTAAAAAGACAGTGTGTGTGTGTGTGGGGGGGTGCTTGAGAGAGAATGAACTCGGGGAGGCCGGGGAGCAATGGAAATGCGGCAGTCTCTGCAGTCGTTGAACTGGGCCTGGCTGTGGGCTCAGTTCTCCATGTTTTCTGCTTTTAGTATCAGCTGAGCTGCTTCCTTTGTTTGGAACAACTTGGTTTATTCAGCAAGTGGGAGCAGAGGACACAGCTCCTCTGAGAGTGCACCAGCACGGATGGGAGCATTAGATTATCCAGTTGAATGCAGTCTTTTTGCCGATGAGGAAACTGAGGCCTGGGGAGATTCTCAGAGAGGGTGGCAGTGTAATCTCCTGATGACTACAGTAGGGCCTTAGGAGCATTTTCTGGAGCTTTGGCATGTGAGAGGGGACATGGGCCTCACTGATGTGCCCCAGGAAGCCAGGGTTCTAGTGGAAAGACTACGCCTGCCAGTGCTGAGTGCAAAGGTTTGGATTGGTGGGACCTGGGGGAAGGCCCACGCGCTTTTGCTGAAAAGAGGGGCCTGGGTCAGGTGTGTGGCCCCAGCAGACCTAGAAGGTGGCCTGAGGTGGGGTCAGCTTCCCCCCACCAATTTCTGGATCAGTTTTAGAGAACCTCACCTGGTGTAGAATGACCGCGCGGATGGATGGAGCAGTAACTGTTACAGGAGTGTGTGTGTTTTCCTTTGTGATCTTGTCAGGCCCAATTCCTTAATTTGTCAGATGAAGAAATAAGAGGCCTGGAGCCATAAATAGGTTTCCCCAGATCCTGCAGTGGGGTGGTAGCAGTAGCTCCCTCACTGCCATGTGCAGCATGCTGAGGGGCTCTGGGAGATCACTGCCTTCTGGTGCCCCAGGAGGGAGGGGGCTGTGAGGCTGTCTTCCCTGCGCTGGGCCCAGGTAGTACTTAGCCTTAAAGGGCCTCACCGGAGCCCCTCCCATGTTCAGAAGCCCTTCCTTTGAGAGGTTAGGAGCTGGACCTCACCCTCTGTCTTAGCTGCTGACATCCCCAGTCCTCCCCAGCTGGCAGGCAGGGTGAGGGACTGGGAAGTGAGCTACCAACCAGAGGCAGCCAGGCCCTTGACTCAGAATGGGGTTGGGCTGAGGGACATGTGTGACCAGTGCTGCTGGACTTAAGAGGTGAACTTGCTGAGGGTAGGGTGGGGGCTCCCAGTCCCTCTCAGACCCTGGCCACTGGCCCCAGTCATGCGTGGACATGTGCCCTGCAGGTTGCACTTCCCCCAGCTGGCCCTGAGACGGAGGCTGGGACAGCTGAGCTGCATGTCCAGACCTGCCCTGAAACTGCGCTCCTGGCCCCTGACGGTCCTCTACTACCTCCTGCCCTTTGGTGCCCTCAGACCGCTCAGCCGGGTGGGATGGAGGCCCGTGAGCAGGGTAAGTGTGTGCAGGCTGCTGGCCTGGCCCATCCCCGGGCAGCCTGAGGTAGGGACCCAGGAGACACAGAAGGAGACAGTTGTCAGAGGAGAGGTGATGGCTGTGAGGGCTGAGCCCTCCAGGAGGGGGTGTTGAAAGGCGAGTTGGTTGAGGGCCTGCTGGTCGGTGGCTGTGTGGGCCCTACCAATAGGTGACTGAGGGCTGGCTCGCTGTCCACTGCCTGCTTTCTGGCTGCATTTGTGTCATTTGGGGGCTCTGCTTCTGGAAGGAACCCGTACTGGGAATTCAGAAAACGATGTCTGTCTGATTTCCTGTGTTCAAGGAAAAGTGAGCTTAGAGGTAATTTTGAGAAGAATCCAAATTCCTGAATGCCAGAGGGTAGTCCAGGAAGGCAGGAACCTGTTTGGGCCCCTTAGGGTGGGGATGCCTTTGAGGCCCTGAGAGCCCCGGGCAGTTCCCTGGAGTGCAGGCTGACCCCAAGGAAGAGACCCTGCTCCTGGCCCTTGGACAGCCCAGGTGGAATGTCATGAGGGCTTGAAAGCTAAGGAGTTCTGGATATTAGACCTGAGGTCCCATGGCAGCTATAGCCACTCCAATGTATAGCAATCAGCTGGGAGTAGTTCTGGGACCCGCTAATTCAGCACCTCCTAGAGGTGTTTAAGTTGGAATGAAATTCCTTTTATACCGTGGGGACTTGTGTCTTTGTTGTGTTCAGAAGCAACAGCCGCCAATTAGAGGCAGGTCCCATAATGTCAGTGGCACCTAGAAGGATCACCTGGCCCTAAGAGTTTGGCTGGAGGGGCCGATTCCCTTGTTCTAAGTGGGAGGAGCCCCAGGTGCAAACAGCTTTGCGGACTGGCCCATCATAGGAGAATGCCTCCGAGTGCCAGGCAGGGCTTGCAGGGTGTAGTCAGGCGCTGGCCTTGATGACAGTGACAGCGCATCTGCATGATGTCAAAGTCCCTGACCTTGGTCAGGGGAGTCTTGTGTGTGTGTTAGGACAGGGATACACTTTGGACTGTCTACAGACTTTGTTGTCTGCCCAGGGCCTCCTGCTCCTTTCTTTGGTCTGTGACACAGGCATTGCCTCCTGCCACAACCTGTCTATAACAGTATCAGATCTACTTATGCTCCCTACCCCCTTTAAGAAACAAGACTGTGCTGGCCAGTCTCTCCCCAGGGACTAGGACAGCTGCTGTTCGGCCTGCATAAGATGACTGAAACACCTGAGCTGTAAGTCAGTGTGTCACGGTCTTGGCCAGTAGTTAGCTCAGTCTGGTTCCTAGTGAGAAACCACCACATCACAAAAGCCAGTGTGGGGTGCCCAAGGCCTACGGAGGTGGCCCCCTTGATGGGGGCAGTTGGCTGGGGGCAGTGGGCTCGAAGTGTGGCTGACTCATCCACTTGCCTGTGGCCTGCAGGTGGCGTTGTACAAGTCGGTGCCCACGCGCTTGCTGTCGAGGGCCTGGGGCCGTCTTAACCAGGTGGAGCTGCCACATTGGCTGCGCAGGCCTGTCTACAGCCTGTACATCTGGACCTTCGGGGTGAACATGAAGGAGGCCGCCGTGGAGGACCTGCACCACTACCGCAACCTCAGCGAGTTCTTCCGGCGCAAGCTGAAGCCGCAGGCCCGGCCTGTCTGTGGCCTGCACAGCGTGGTGAGGCCCTACCCTGCCTTCCACTCCTCCCTCCAGAAACTTGATTCTAGCCTGTGCCTTTGGGAACCAGTCCCAACAGCCTCCATGGGTGGCCGGGTAGGCGTTCCTCCCAGGCCGGATGAGGTCCTGCCCTGCGTCCCCTCGCCTCCTCCATGTCCTCTCCCCTCCTGTCCCTGGCAGTAACTCTCCTGGCCCTTCCAGATCAGCCCGTCAGATGGGAAGATCCTCAACTTTGGGCAGGTGAAGAACTCTGAGGTGGAGCAGGTGAAGGGGGTCACCTACTCCCTGGAGTCGTTCCTGGGCCCGCGTACCTCTGTGGAGGACCTGCCCTTCCCACCAGGTGGGTCCTTGCCTGGTCATAACCTTGTCACAATGCTGCGTTGTGGCTGGGCCAGAGGTTAGAGGGTGAAGGTTGGGAATGGGTCGGAGAGAGAAGGGACACTGGGAAGGCTCTAGGAACTGAGGGCTGGCCCCTGGGCCAGGAATCACCCTGCCCAGAGCTTCAGAGCCTCCCTGGAGCCAAGATCCAGACTATACACAGGCCCCATGCTGGGTGGCATTGGGTGCCTGTCTGATAGCCGGACCCTTGTCTGTCTCCAACAGCCGCCTCCTTCAGGAACCAGCTGGTCACCCGAGAAGGGAACGAGCTCTACCACTGCGTCATCTACCTGGCCCCCGGGGACTACCATTGCTTCCATTCTCCCACAGACTGGACAGTGTCCCACCGGCGCCACTTCCCAGGTAGGCCGAGGCTGGCAGACTGAGAGGTGCCTCTGCAAGCTCCTAACCAATGCCCTCAGCTTCCAGGTTTCAGGGACCCAGGCTGCAGAGATGGGGTGCTGAGGCTGGTAGTCGACTGCTTTAGTCTGGCAGGCGGGTGGGGGATAAGCTGGGGTCTAGCCCACTCTGTATTTGCAATGACATGGGGGCGACACTGGGCTCCAGGAGGCTGATCCTTTCGCTGAGTGGGGAGTAGTAAGTGTCCTTGCTTTCACAGGCTCCCTGATGTCTGTGAACCCCGGCATGGCCCGCTGGATCAAAGAGCTCTTCTGCCACAATGAGCGGGTAGTCCTGACTGGGGATTGGAAACACGGCTTCTTTTCACTGACAGCTGTGGGGGCCACCAACGTGGGCTCCATCCGCATCTACTTTGACCGGGTAAGCAGAGCCCAGGCCCTGCTGAAGCCCAAGGGCTGGGTCACTTGGGGTCCCACTGCCTTGTCTCCTGTACAGCCAGATGTCAGAACTTCTAGTTCTGACACACTCCATTCCCCACTTGTTGCCACTTGTCCCTCTGGAGGTGGCTGGAGAGGGAGGGACCTTTCTTGGTGTCAATTTGTGACTGCCCCTTGCCCCCCGGGTGCTGATCTTGCATCATCATTTGTGCTGGAGAACAGAGTCAGGTCTGATTCCTCCATGTCCCAGTTCACAGCAGGTGTTGGGGACAGTGTGTGGTTAGACACCTGGCCCGTGTCCTGAGTCACTGTCCCCACCTCCCTTTCCAAGCTGAGTTGCAGGAAGGCTGCAGAGGTGTGTTGAAGGTCCAGGGAGGTCTCACATGCTCTGCCCCTGACCTTCCCCAGGACCTGCACACAAATAGCCCACGGTACAGCAAGGGCTCCTACAACGACTTCAGCTTCGTGACACATGCCAACAAGGAGGGCATCCCCATGCGCAAGGGTGAGCACCTGGGCGAGTTCAACCTGGGCTCCACCATTGTGCTCATCTTCGAGGCCCCCAAGGACTTCAACTTCAAGCTGAAACCAGGACAGAAAATCCGCTTTGGGGAGGCTCTGGGCTCCCTCTAGAGCCTCATTCCAGGCTGCTGAGGGACCTTTCTTAAACACAGAAATGGGAGTCTTTTTAAGGGCTCTCAGGACCATGGGGTCTGACCAGGCAGGACCTGGGTGACTTCTGTTCCTGCTGTCCCAGAGGTGCAGACAAGTTCAGAGCCCTGGTCGTGCCCTAGACCTTCGTCATCCCCTCTTCCCACCTTAAAGAGAAAGTAAGTGCCAGGATGATCTCAAGATTCCCTTTTGGAGACGTTTTAACCCCGATGGTATAAACCAGAGACCCTACCATCTCCTGGCTGAGCACTCAGCTGGTCTTGGTTTCTGTTAAGATGGTAAGTGGTAATGTACCTTTTTGCTGCTCCTCCCATTACTGCTTTTCGCCTCCACTGCCTGGGTGAGGTGCATCCTGGCACTGACTGTGGGCCTGCCTGCCCCAGAGCAGGACCACACAGCCTTTAATGTAACTGCTTTGTTTCCAAATTCACCCCACCCTGCTTGTTGGGAAAAGCCACCTGTCTTCTTCACACTGGTGGTGAATGCATCACCCAACTCTGCCAGCATCTTTCGAGGATGGCGACTAATGGCAAGGCGTTTTGCAGACCCCGATGAGTGACCTGGAGCTGTGAAGACCAATTACTGAACCCCCCCTGACTGGGACAGGCAGGTAGTTGTGGCCACATTGGGGCTAGGGGAGAGCTTGTGTCCCCTCCCCAGATCTACATTAAATATGGGAAAGTTGCTGCTATTGATTCAAGGGCTTATGTTGGAGGCAGAGGAACCTTGGTGTATTGGGGTGAAGAGGCAGGGTCAGTGCCTAGAAAACCTGTCCCCCGGTAATAGGGGAGTCATTGATGGTGGGGACAGGGCCAGGTTTCATGTCTCCAGGGGACTCTGAATTTCTCCTGCAGGAGAAGCCATTTGAACTTTTTCAACTGTATCAGTAGCACAGTATTTTTGTATGAAAAGTGGGAGACTTCTGAACAGTAATTCATGTAATTGCCACATTTTGAAATAAAAAAAAAAAATCATTTTAGCTTTATATTTTGTTCCTGAAGCTGGGCCAAGGCCTCCCTGGGGTGATGGCTTTAGCACAGAGCCCGCCGCAGGGCCTGGACGCGCGCAATGCAGGCGTTGACGGGCTGGCGCTGGGCCTGGAGCTCTGCAGCCAGCTGCTGGATCTGTAGTTCCACCTGGGGAGCCAGGAAGGGACAGGCTGTGCTGAGAGGAAGCACAGCCAGACCCTGTCCCAGGACCATCCAAGACCTCACCTCCTGCAGCTCTTCCTGCACCTGCTGCTCCGTTTCCTGGTCCTCAGGCCTGGGCTCCTCCCTGCTTAGCTCCAGCCACCGGCGCAGGCTGCTTGCTTGCCGCTGGTAGGACCTGAGGCAGTGAGACACCTGCTCTGTGTCTAGCTGGGCCCTTGGTGGACCCTCAGGCTTTGGGTGAAGCATGTGGGCTACGGAGGGTAGTTCTGTTCCTCTCCCAGCCTCCATACTGTCCAGCAGATGGCAACTTGGATGGGCCCAGGGCAGAACCCCTTCCTGCTCCTCCATGGCTGCTGCTCATGGTGAGGGGCCACCATGCTGCCCAGGCTCTGGACCCAGACCACAAGTAAGACAGGATAGCCCACTGTGTGCAACTGGTGCCCAGACCTTTGTACCTTTTCATCCCATGTCACAATCACTGGGTAGACCCCTGGCCCAGCTTTCACATGACCCAGTCGTGTTTAAAGTTTTGCTCAGCTGTGTTGTCCCATGTTGTATCGCGCCCCCTCCCCCCGTCCCACAGGTAAAGTCAACCTGGCCTTCCTAAGTAGGACTGAGGGGTAAAGGTGCCACCTGTGTGCAGGGGGTTGGCAATGCACAAATAGGTGATCACCCCTAGGACCCTGGCAGCCACCTCCCAGCTGTTCCCTGTGGGCAGGCGTGTTTCTGCGTCTTACCAGAGGTTCTGCTTCATGCTCTGGTAGTCCTGTAATTGCCGCTGGATGCCCTCAAGCTCAGCCTCCAGGCTGGTGTGGCCCGTGGCAACAGGAGTATAAGCTTGATCTTGACTATTCTCCTGGCTGGGTCCAGGCTGAATGGAGGGGGCCCAGGCGCTGGGAGTGGCCCAAGTACTTGATGTGCTGATAGACCTCAGGTACACACCTGCAGTTTCAGAGCCAGGCCCAAGCCAGGTGCCTGTGAGGTCCCCAGGAAGGAGCAGGTGGGGGTCAGGGACCTGGGGCATAAGGCTAGGGGAGGTCAGCCATGCGGATGCCTGTAAAAGGAAGGATGGACACTAAGAGAAGCTGGAGGAAGGCCTGCGACAGGGTGCCAAGAATGCCCACTGCAGGGAGAAGGCAGGCGAGGCACCAAGAGCTGGGCTTTCCCACAGCCAGCTCTCCCAGGGTCCTGGGCCTGCCCTTCTTTAAGGACCAGACACCAAACAACCTAGGGAGTACCCCACACCTTTGTAGTCTGGTCCCACCCCTTCCCCAGGACCTGGCTCAGCACTGCCCCAACCAGCTGTTTCAAGCCTTCCTGACTTTCCACCCCTGCCTCACTCTGTGACCTTTGTCTCAGTGAGAAAGTGATCAGAGGCTATTGTAGGTGTCCAACCACCCACCTGCAACCCTCCGTTCCTTCCTGGTGAGAACTGTCCTATCACCCTGCCCCTCACCACTCCCGTGGCTCTCTTGAGGCACCAGCTCCTTGGGGTCACCCATCCCAAATGCTGTCTCCTCCGTACTGAGCACTTGTGCCTTCTCACTCCTCCCTGCCCCGGACTCCTTGATTTCAATTCTCAACTTTGATCTCCAGACCTGACTTCTTCCCTGAAGGCCAGACTCACAAGCCTGTTGCTTTACCTCAAATTTAAAAGGTTCAAAACACTTCATGCTTCACCCTAAGTGGGACCCCAGTGTTCCTTCTTTTAATAAAAGAACTCATTATTCCGAGTTATCCAAGCCAGATTCCTTCCTTCACTCGTATCAAACCCATCAGAGCAAGTCCTGCCTAGTCTGCCTATCAGGTATCGGCCACATCTGTAGTCACCAGCACCTTCTGCTGCTGGGCCGTAAGATCACAGCAGCCAACCATCCTCCACAACTTCCAACTCTCTTTAAAATCCAAACTGTCACCAGGGCCTGCACAGCTCTCCATGATCTGCAGTCTCTATGTGCCTGCTGGTCTTATCTCTACCACTGGGATATATATAATCTCAGGAGCAGGGGCCTCGGCAGGCTGTTCACTACTGTGTCCCTAGGACAGTGGCACCCACTTGGTAAATGAATGAGCAGCCTCACTGTGTCTGCCTGAGATAGTGTTCCAGTAGCAGTAAGTACAGCTGTGGATACAGCACTGAGTGCACAAGAGCGAGCACTGAAGGCCAAAAACTGGGACCCTAGATGACCAGGGAGGACTTACCCTAGTGGGTGCATCCACCCCGCAGGGCATGGAGGAGGAAGGGGGCAGCAGCTTCGGGCCTGTACTCGCCATGGGGGACAGCTTCAGGCCAGAGGCACTCGGCAGGGCCCCAGGCTGGGGCAGGGAGCTGCTTGGAACCAGTCCAGTGTGGGCCTTTTCCAGGAAGGGCCTCGTCAGGGAAGGGCCTGCTGGCTGGGACATGCCTAGGCCTTGCTCCCTCAGCATCTCAGGCCTGAGCAGAGGGAAGGCAAGAGCTGGTCAGGCCTCAGTACCTTCTTGAGGAGCAGGAAGGAAAGGGGGCCACTCATCCTTAGGCCCCAAATCACAGGTCCTGATGGAGGTACCATCTACTTTTGGGGTCCCACGACCACATAACCTACCCCTGCCCCCCGAAGGTGCCACACCCCAGGGGCCTCTGGCTCTGCAAGGGCTCCAGCAAGAAGTTTGGGCGTCGCGGCTGCTTCCTTGCGGAGCGGATGGCATTGCTGGGGAGAAATACAGGGCTGTTCCTCCAGGCTGCCCAAGGGGCTGCAGGGGGCCTGAGACCTCTGTGGGGTAGGGGTCATCACCCAGCCCAACCCCTCCAATCTTACGGGAGACTAACTCCCAGAGAAGGAGAGGCTCTTGCTCAAGGTCAGCAGGTGAGCTGGGGTGGGCCTAGGCCACACAGAACGTCTGAGCAATTCCAGTGAAGCGAGCCTGACGCCTCACCGACATCATCTCATTTGACCTCTACAGCGACCCTGGTGATGCAGCTGCTTGTCCCACACCACAGGGGAACAGGCTTGTCAGGGTCAGCCCTTGTTAGGGTTGGGATGGGGGTAGGGATGGAGATGGGAGTATGAGGCAGGCAGAGCAGAACCAAGGCCCATGCCAGTGCTCCTCCCTGCCGGTGACCTCTCCCCCAGGCTCAGGCAGCACTGGGCACTCTGGGAGCAGACAGCTGTATCAGCCCAGTGTGTGGGTATGGGGTAGTGGCTAAAGCATAAAATGTGCAGTTTCCAAGAGGGAGCCCCATTTTCTGGCTGTAAGGGTCAGAGGAACACTGGCAGGTCTGGGGGCAGGAGGGTGGGGCTGCCCTCTTCTTGCTGTGTTCTCTCCCTGAGCTTGAGAGGGACAGTGTCTGCTTCCAAATGGGAGGAAGAGAAGGGTCCCAGTGGCTCAGCTGTGACCCTCGGGGCCCAGTGTCCTCCCTCCAGTACACTCCAAGCTTCTGCCCCAGGTGGAAGCAAAGAGAAAGAGGTGAGGGATGGCTACTCACAGCTCCAGGAGTTGGGGATCCCCAGCATCCAGGGCCAGGCTGCTCAGAGCTCCCTGTGGTCCACGAGGAGCTGGCCTTTTGGTCTCCAGGGCGGCATCCCCAGCACCAGCAGCAATGCAGTTGGGAAGGGGACCCTTAAATGTCACTCTCCTGCTAGGCACGGTGGATGTGGGAGGCTGAGACTCCCTGCCTAGGCCCAGCACCTTCTGTTTCCAGAGCATGGCACAGCGATGGACTGCCCGGTGGAGACTGTGGGCCGCCTGCAACGACCTCTCTCAGGTCATGCTGTGTCCTACCCACTCCCCACAAGGACGGGGGTTCAGAACCCTGGGCCTACCTGCGCCTGCTGCTGGGCATGCAGCTGCTGCCGGAGAGCCTTCATGCCAGCTGCAAACCGCAAGAGGCACGTGATGCCCTCCTGGAGGAGCTGCTGGTGGTAGACCTGCACTGCCCGCTCCAGCCGTGCCTTCTTCCTCCTCCTCTCCAGCGCAAAGCTCTGCCATGCAGCCCACACCTCCGGGAGGAGGAGGAGGTGAGGCCCAGCTCTCCCTGCTTAAGCTCCCCCAGGGGCTGTGCCCACAACCCACACTGCCCTCCACCAAGGCACTTTCCTCTCCTGGAAGGAGCAGCCATTACCTTTGCCTGCAGTGAGAAGGCCCAGAACCACAGGGCCCGGGCTGTGTCCTGCTGCTCCTGCCTCCTGTTCGCCAGCTACGGGCCAGAAAGATTACCAAAATATCACCTTCAGGGAGGCCGCCCCCACCACAGGGCCCTGTCACTCTCAGAGCCCTCTCTGCCAAGCCCTGAGGGAGTAGATCAGAAAATGATCCTCTGGAAAGAACAAGGCAAAGAATTCTGGGGGAGGGAACACAAGAGCAGTATGCTTGGCTGGCAGAAGAAAAGCTGGGGACATCTCCACATTGCAGTCCAGGGAGCGAGAGGGACCCGTGCACACGAAGGTTTGCTGAACAGGATGCAGTCCCGCCTGGTGTTTTGTCAAGGCCTCACAAAGACTTAAAATGCATTTCATATGAATTTTTGGATATTACCCAGATGTATTTCTTAATGTGACACAGAAATGGGACCTTGAAGTGACTTGGCCTTATACAGTCACAGTGCATGGAAGCTGGTGATACCCAGAAATGTTGGGGGTTGGGCGGAAAGCTCCCACCTGTTGTCTCCACCGGTGGAAGCAGGACCGGCTGAGTGTCTGGGCCAGAAGTTGGGTGCCCTGCCTCTGCAGGAGCTGGGGGAGAGGGAAGAGAGGATGCACAGGGAGCTGGTTTTGAGTGTATCAGATGCCCCCATGCCCAGACCACCCGGGAGCAGCCAAAGGGTGAGAAGCTCCCCACCCAAGTAAGTGGTTCCCCCATCTCCTGGTGTCCTGTGTGAAGCCAATAACTCCACAGGTTCCCCGGCTCTAACAAGCCATGATTCCGGGTGAACCTGGTTTCTCTGCTAAACCATCTTCTACCTGGAGAGACCCAATCTGAGGCTGGCGTCCCCCCAGCCATCCCAGAAAGGTTCCTAAACCTTGTACCCATAGGACCCCAGAGCACCCAGTGCCTATACTGGCTGCTGTGAGTTCTGCAGGAAGGACCTCTTCCTCCCTGGGAGGTGGTCTGCCATGGAAGAGCTCCACTGCACAAGGAAACTGGAGGAGTTACCACCTGCCTCACCCTCTTCCTGACGCAGCCCAGATGGTGGACCTTCCACTGGGCCAGGCCCTGAAGCAGTAGCTGCTGATCGTAATGCTGCACCGCCCGCTCCAGCTGGGCTCTCTGCTGGGCTGCCCTCCGGCCACGTTCCCGCCAGTGCTGAAACCAGGTCCTGAGACAGCCTAAGGCAGATCCAAGTCAGTTTGCTCTTTTGTCATGTATATATGAATGACTAAATCACAGGCAAAGTTTAGACGAGAATGGAGAAGACTGTGGGGACAGAGTTGGGGTTTCAGCCCGCAGTGGGTGAAACCACCACATGTGGACACTCCTCTGAAGTCATCTCTGGCCACCTTCAGCAACCGTGAGCACCCTGGGGGCTGGAACCACGTCTGCTGTTTGCTAGTGTGACCTTTCCAAAGGCCCATGAGCCACAGTGACCACAGATGTGCCAGGGGCCCTCAGAGTGACTGCAAGAGCTGCAGAATGACCCAGGAGAGGTGGCAGCCCTGTTCTGCCAGGGAGGAAACCAAGGCTCAGAGAAGTCCAAGCAGCCCGAGCCAGGCAGGGGCCATATCCTGCAATTTCTTCTATGTCACCAGGTTCTCAAGAAAGCAAACACTTTCTTCTGCTGATTTTTACTTGGCAATTTTTCCTTTCTTAGGCCCTAGGAGAAGTTTCTTTCAGAGAAAACAGAAGGGGGTTGATACCAGGGCACTGATGCCAAGATAGGGTGCTCTCCAGCACTTGCCGGAGAGGGCAGGGAAGGCAGCATTCACATGCCTGGAGGCCCAGCGTTAGTACTAAATGCTGACACCTTTTGGGTCCTGCTGTAAGCACATATATGTTATTCTCACTGGATCCTCATGACAACCCCAAGAGATAGGTAGCACTGTCCCCATTTTACAGATGGAGAAACGGGGGCTGAGAGAGGACTTGCCCCAAGTTGCACAGGCAGCATCTAACTCCTGCCTGCACTTCTTAAGCCTCTGTTTTAATGACGACACCCTGCTCTAGTCGTCCTCCAGTGCCTGGCCCTGTGCTCAGACTGCCAAGGTGTGCCTATACCTCAGAGGCCTTAACTAAACCAAGACATGGTCCCACGGGTAGTGAATGTACACCTACTATGTGCTGGGAACACACTGTCTTGTCACAGGTCTCCCAAGCCCCTTGTGCCATCCTTAGTGGACATGGCAGTCCCAGGGCCTGCCATGTGTCGCCACCTCCTTCTAAGGAAAGCTGCTTGCCTTAGGAAAGTCCTGTGCCTGTTCTCTCTAGCTCCCTAAAATAGCCACATGGGCCAGGAGTGTGTGCCTGACCCAAACTGCCGAGGCCTGTACCACGCCAGGTACCACAGACCTGTCCAAACAGAAACTAAGAGCTGGGCTGAGCCCCCTGGCTTCTTTGTTGGGAATGAACTAGAAACAGCACCGGTTTCTGGGGTGAAGAGCAGCTTGAGGAAACATGGAAGCACATTTAACCCCCAAGTTCTGCCTAGAGGAAAGCGGGATCTGTGTTCATCAACACAAACACTACAGTCAGCCAAACGGAAGCTGAATTCTTGTCTTGGGGCAAACTTTGCTAAGCCAGTGTTAACAACATGATCTGTTTTCTCCTATGGTCTGATTTAAACCATTTCCATTTGTATTTTCATTTAGTCTCACTACAAGCTGTCCCCTCAGAATCAGATTCCCAAACTGCAGGGCCACTGTCTGTTTCCATGCGTCTCACAAGCAGAGGTTCCATCTGGACTGTGTTCTCAGGCTGTCTGTTTTGTAGGTAGTGGGACTACCTGAGGCCAACTGAGCAAGTCCCTGCTCCCTGAACACACAAGGACCCAACTACACAAGAAATACACAGCCATGATGGGGCTGACCTGACAAGCAGCGGCCAATGGAAAGGCTTCTCGTCAAAACCACCCCCCAACCCCTCGAACTCTTCCATTCCAGCTTCATTTCCTTATTTCGCTGTAGCTCTCAAGCCTTGGCTTTTCTTTTTAACATCAACTGGTTGGTAATCAGTTGGGAAGAAAATGCTGTGATATACTGGGTTGAATAGTTACACCTCCCAAATTCATGTCCATCTGGAACCTAAGAATTGATGTTATTTGGTAAGAGGGTCAGTGCAGTGTAATAATAACTGACATCATTCTGGAATAGGGTGGGCCCTTGATACAGTATGACTTAACTTATAAGAAACACGAACAGACAGGGAAGATAGCCATGTGACAACGAAGGCCAAGGCCAGAGTGATGTGTCTACAAGCCAAGAGCAGCGAGGATTGCTGGGAGGCCCGAGAAGCTCGAAGAGGCAAGCAAGGATTCTCCTTAAGTTTTCGGAGGGCGCATGGCCCTGCCAACACCTTGATTTCTAGCCTACACCAAGATTTCTAGCCTACAGAACTATGACAGAACAATTTTCTGTTGTTCTAAACTGGTGCTGTTACCTAAGCAACAGAAATTACACAAGAGAAGGAGACGGACTGCAGGGAAGCAAACGGCACAGTGTAACAGTTCTGGGTCCTTCATCATCTTTTCCTCAGCTTCCAGGGGCCCTACTTACCTCTCTGCAGCACCTTCCGGGCCTCCCTGATGGCACAGTCCTCCTGCTGCCGGTAGTATATCTGCACTGATGCTGCCTGCCGCCACTGGACCAAGACCTAAGGGCAGACAAAGAACAGAGAGGCAGTCACAGCATGTCCTGACTTCCAGGGGACTCCCCAGTTCTGCTGGCAGCCCCTCCTGGAAGAAGGCTGAGTGGTGGACACATGGCACTGACCCACATTCAGGAGGCATGTACCATCTGCATAGAGTCAACAGGCAGAGCCCCAGGCCCTCATGGGAAGCCCAGAACCTCAAGGAATGGCTCTTTTTTACCAGAAGAAGTTAAACATCACATTATGCCATGAAGACATGAATGGGCTTCTATTCTATTTGTTAACAGAAACTATAACTTACATGCACCCTTTCATATGTGAGATTTACAAAATAACAGTAACAGGGCACTTTGAAAAGAAGTCAAGCAGCCAGGGGACGCCTGCTGCCTGCCTCCCAAACTATCACAAACTCCATTCACCCCCAAAAAGCCTCCCCCCTTCCTTGCCCTGAATCCAAACAAAGAGTCCTGACCCTCCTTCCAGGGCAGAACCAGACACTGGTCCCAGAGCTCTCCTGAAACAGACTGGGCCTTGACCACATGCAACTGCTCCTCATCTGCAGATGCTTCAAGGTTGTTTGGAGCTGCCCCCTCCCCAGGCCTGCCAGCAGGGCTCCTGCCAACTGCTTTCTCCTAAAGCATCTCGAAGTCCAGGGACCACCAGTCATTTCATTTGTTTTGAGTCCCCTGTCTTATAACACATCTTCTTCCCACAGCCAAGTCCTGCCACAGCCTGCCCTCCCCCAGCACGTGGGACCAGACCCCACCACCCGGCGGCAATTTGGGGCCACTTCCCACTGACAACCAACGGCCTCACATTCCTGGGATGCTCTGTTTTCCAGAAAGCCCACGGCCACGAAACCTGTGAGCAGGAGTGAGCATCCTCTTCCCACAGATGCAGAGATGGAGGTGTGGTGACTTAAACCGTTTGTCCCAGTGGAAAATCCCACACGTGTGGAAAATACTGGTTCTGATATGAACTAGTTTGCTCACTATGTGCTATGTTCTGTTTTAATGAATATTGGTTCATAATTCAGTAAAATAAATAAAAGCCAACTTTCACATGGCAGAGGAGGAGGGTTATCCCGTTTCCTGGGTTCCTTGTTCAGTTCAAATCCCTGGTACCACCACCTATGCCACCATCTTGTACGAGCATGGTCCCAAACCCTTCCTGAGAGACCAGATGGCTCTCCATGCCTCACCTTGAAACACAGGTTCCTTCTGTAGTGAGCACTCGCTTGAGAGGTTTTCTTTGCTTCATCCATGCAGGCCACCGTGTTCTCCCTCCAGCAATGTAACACATCCCTGCAGGTACACAGGCCAGTTCAGGGGTGACACCAGTGTGAAGAGACAGGGTGAGTCTATGAATCACTCTTGATTCTTCAGCCCACTCATGAATCAAGGACACCCTATGCCTAAGAACATCTGTTTCTCTGACAGCCATGTCCATGTTGACGAAGACATGTGACACATGGTTGCTAAGCACCTGCCCTGTGCCAGGCACTGGGGACACTAAGGCAGACAGGACCAAACACCACATCCTCATGCATTTATGCACTCCGGAGAACACAGAGTCGTAACGAGGCAGTGACAGGACAGGTGATTCACACCGTGATAAGGGAGCTACAGAGAAAGGGAAGCTGGAGGAATGGAACTGGATCCTCAGCACCTGTGCCTGGTGCTGAGTTAGTTCGGGGACTCCCTCTTTCTGTGTCACTCTGTCTGAGGATCTGAATGGACACTTTACGGAACCCTGAAGGTGGGAGAGTGGTGTCTAAAGTCCACAAAGCCCACCACCCACAGGCAGCCTGGAATAGTGTACACAGAACAAATACAGAGGAAGGAAAAGAAAGAGTGGAATGAGGGAGGCCTGTGGAAGGAGTGAGTTTAGAGCTTGGCTTAGCAGGAGCTTGAGGATGGGCACAGGAGGGAGCTGGAGCCCAGGTAGTGTAGGTGACCTCCAAAGGTGTCACAGATGCAGAAGGTTCTAGTGGTAGAGAGCTGACTCCGGAGGGTCAGTGAAAGGTCTGGAGAGCCAAGTGGGGAGACAGCTAACTGGGAACTGAGAGGCAATAGGAGCCATTGCAGCTTCTAGAGCAGGAGAGGTACTAAAATGGTGCCTTGAGAAGCTGACTCTTTAAGGTCTAAAGTGGGGAAGGGAAGGTGCTCATAGGAGCAAGATAAGCGAGAGGTCTCACAGACATGCAGGTGAGAGCTGCTTCCCACAGGTCCTGCTCTGCACACAGCAGAGGCTCAAGACATAAGAGGCAAACCAGTGAATGGAGTGCTTGCTGTGGAAAAGCCAAAGCTATGCTATGAGCAGCACGAGGAAGCCAGGCCTGTCCTGTGCCTGGCCCTGGACAAAACTCCCCAACCTGCCTGGGTCTGAAGTCTATTCCCCAATCCTCAGGCGGGGCCCAGATGCTGGGTGACTCACCGCAGCAGCTGCCTCTGGTGCTGGCTCTCCCTGGCCGCCACCTCTTGTAGGACGCTCCGCACTTGGCTCTGGTAAATCTGTAGGAGGCCAGGACTAGAGGCCACGCCTGGGCCACAGTTCTTCCTATTCCCAGGCAGGCCTCAGAGGTTCTGAGCAGGGACTTCGATGCCCAAAGCACTCACGAGAGGGTGGGGAGAGGCCAAAAGGCCCCAGGCCCAAAGCCAGGAGACCACCCAGACAGCAGGGAGAGGACTGTCTCACTAACCCCTCACCTAATAAGTCAAACCACTGGGCTCCTGGACCAGGGGCCACTTTGTTGGTAAGGCTGGTGCCCCCAGACAGCACTTGCTTTTACTTTCCTTGTTTGTATTTGCTGAGCAAGGATGGAAGAACTCAGCCCTGTGGTAAAGATGTAAGACCCACTGTCCAGGGCACCTGCTCTGAGGCTGCTGGAATTACTGTTCTGAGAGGGGCAGCAAGAATAAGGAAGGAAAACAAAGTCTTCAGGATTCCCCTCCCCCAAAGGCATGGAGATATGAAGGAAGGAGCAGCTCCTACCCCCCAGGCCCGCAGCGCCCTGTGCAGCAAGGTGTGCCGGCGATGCAGGTCTGCTTGCGTCAGCTTCTGTCGCTCCGCACGCTGCAGGGCCAGGCACTGTGGGCAGAGGAGAGCAGCCATGGAGGGCTGAGGAGGGCAGGCTCAGCTTTGCCTCCATTTTACATAGTTTGGGTGAGCTCGGGTGAGGTAAGAATTCTGGGAGCCCCAGCTTCCTCATCTATAAATAGGTACCTTTAGAAGTTTTGTGGGAATCAAATGGGGCCAGTGCCTGACTTAGGGTAAATGCTCCAGCAACGTCAGTGTAAACATTTTTGTCCAGGGTAGGATGCCTATCAATGGTAGACCAGAAATTTGATATTCAGTGAGTTCAGGTAAGACTAGCCTAGCACATAAGAGAACAAGGAACTTTGAGCCAATCATCTCATAAAACCAGGCTACCATTCTTCATCTGCTGCCTGACTTCTTCCCTATGCTCAGAGGCAGGTGGTTTCTGAGGGACTGGGAGGAGCCCATATGGCTCCTGAGTCACGTTGACACACAGCTCCACCTGTCCACAGTGGTGCCTGTGCCAAAGTCTTACCTCCCTCCACCTGTTCCAGGCCCAATGCAGGAGCCGTGCTGAATGGAACTCTGCAGCCAGCACCCCGCCCATCTTCCTGTGGAGAGAGAGTCAGTGCTCAGTGCAGCAGCCCAGACGCAGCTAGGGCCCTCTCAATGGCTGCCGCTTCACAGTCTCTGGCTTCTGCTTGGTGGTTCTTAAGTTTGGTGGGGGAGTCACTCTGAAGACCTGCCAAAGGATTTGGGCTCTCTACCCAGAAAAGTGCACATGTAATCAAGTTTTTGCAGACTACCTCACAGGGCTTCAAGTACCATTGAAGCCTATCTGTGTGAAGGTGGTTGTGTAGGAGGTTCAATGTGGCCAGCGTCTGAGAGTAGGGAGATCCTCACTACACAAAGTGGATACAGAAAGGCCCCAAAGCAGGACAGTGTCTGCAGTGGACACACCGGCTGTCTATCCTGCCCCCCCAACCACGTGGTATGGCAAAAACTGCCATACCATACCCCCTGCCCACAGCTGCTGCTCCTAGGGGCAGTTTTCAATTACCCCCAAACGAGCCCATTAGTTTGTTCCTTGGCCATGGGCACTTCAAGGGGGCCCCAACTAGCCAGCAGGATGTAGCCCATGGACAGAACCTCAGATCCACAGGCACACATCCCCAGTCACAGTCCAGGATCCTCTCACTATAGGTCTTGTTTTGCTTAGACTGTTTCAGATTGAATTTCCAGAACTTAAAACCCAAGTCTAGGCTAACATGACCCTCTGGCTGGGCACTCAGATCTGACAGTGCAGCTACTATGATCAAAACTGGTCTGAGATAGAAAAAGCTTCCAAGGCAGAAGCATCCACTCACTCTGATCTGAGCCCTCGGGCACTCTCCCTCCAAATGGAGAAAGCCTTCCTGAGACTCCCCTGGCGGTGGTGGGCACAGGCCACTGCTTGCCACTGCTGCTCCTGGCGATGTGCTGCCGCCTGCTGGTGCCACGTGGACCAAGACCTCCGCAGAAGCTGCCGCTCTGCATGAAGGATGGCCTGCGGCAGGACAGCAGGGAGAAAACAGAATGGGTAAGTAGAAGGATTCCAGAAGACAGGAAGGAAGACAAGGCAAAAGAAATGGACATTAGGAGCTAGCTGCACTGGCCCAGAAGCCATCTGTGCAAAGGAAAAAGATGCCCTAGACCCTGGCCCTGCCTTGTGAGTCCTAGTCACAGGCACAATGTCCTTAAGTGGGGGTCTGGCTTCCAGGCGATGTCCTGAGGAGAGGAGTCTCTGAAGGCAAAGGCTTGAAACAGGCACCTCCTATGGGAAAGTCACTTACCATTCTCTCTGCCAAGCGGTTTTCTTGATGCTGAAACATTTTCTGCCACCAAATAGCAAATACTTGTTTCTCTAACGTCTCCCTATAAAAAAAGGAAAAATAGAATGAGAAGTTCCAAATGGAGTTTTCCTCTTACACTGTGCTATTAAGAGGCAAATGATCTTAGACGGGGAAAGAGAGGAGGAAGAAAAGGAAAGCAGAAAACAATAGCCAAAAAACCCATAAACAACCCAATACTTTCCAAGTATTTCTAATGTCAGCTAAGCACTCACACAGTATGAACAAGACTCAGACTTTGAGACCCTGGTTCCTCTTCAATTCCACGTTTAGTTACCAACGGTGCTCAACAATTATTAGTGAAAGCTTATCCAGTCCATGCTGACCAGCCAGGGCAAAGTGGTTAAAAACAGATGCCTGGCCCCCAAGGCTGACTGAGCAGGTCTAGGCCACTCCAGGAAGCAGTAGGTAGACAAGGAGATAGGTTTGGGAACCACTGCATTGTCACCTCTGCTTCAGTCCACCTTCTCACCATAACAATGTCAAAACCTGCAAAAGCTGTGCTGGGACAACTGGTCAATAGCCACCAGGGGCAGTGCATTGGCAAAGCCATGGGCAAAATATATGAGACAACTGTTTTCAGTTCCTGGAAATAAGCAACTCAGACTGTGATCCTTGAGAGATGGGAGACATGCAAGGTGAGCCCCTTAGTTGCCCAGGCACTTTATGGACAGTGAGGGAAGGAAGAGGGCGTCCAAGCAGAGCATGAGAGTCTCAATGAGCCGAGGCAGAATACTAGAGTTCCAGGCCACAGGGGAAGGACCGTGTAGACCTGTGTGGCCGTCCTGAGCCTGGTCAGGCAGAGACCTCACCCCACCCCTCTATACCTCAAGGCTGCCACAGTGCCTGAGTGTCTATGGCCTAGGGAGACCCACCCCTCACACACAGGCATACTCACAGACACCTTGCACAGTAGTCAAGGGAAATACCCAGAATTCTATGTGAAGCTGCCCCAGGCAGCAGCTGTAGGCCTAAGAGCTAAGTGGAGATACCAGAGGTTGAACAGGGTTGGGAGATGGAGTTCCAGCCCATTCAGAGTAAAAAAACCTCACTGAGAAGCCTCAAGAGCAACAGCCATGCCCTAACACTGAAGACAAAATAAAAAACGGCCCACTCAAAGAAAGAATAAAACCAGAATTGATAGGAGCCACAAAACCACCAGAAGAAACAGGAACCACCACTTGCCAAAACAAAATGCAACACCCTGTAAAGAAAAAAAGCTGTCAACAGAAACTTAAATGTTGGAATCAGCAAAAACTTAAAAACAGCTCTAATAAGTAAGTTTGAGTGTATAAATGAAAAGATGAACAAAATTAGCTACCAGACAGGGAATCTCAGCAACAAAATAAAAACATCAAAAAAAGAACAAAATGATTCGGTGGTTCCTCAAAAAATTAAACACAACATCACTACATGATCCAGTAATTCCACTCCTACGTGTATGCCCAAAACAATGAAAAGCAGGGTCTCCAACAGGTGCGTGTCCACCAATGTTCACAGCAGCACTATTCACAACAGCCAAAGGTGCAAGCAACCCAGGTGTCCATCGACATATACATGGACAAACTGTGGTCTATCCATACAACAGAATAGTATGCAGCCATAAAAAGGAATGAAATTCTTGTTCATGCTATAACATGGGTAAACCTCGTAAACATCATGCTAAGTGAAAGGGACCAGACACAAAAGGACAAATGTGATTCCACTTGTATGAGGTACTTAGAAAAGGCAAATTCAAAGACAGAAAGTAGATTTGAGGTTACCAGGGGCTGGGGGTAGATGGGAAAGGGAAGTTACTGTTCAGTGGGCACAGTTTCCATTTGGGATGATGAACAAGTTCCGGACATGGACAGTGATGGTGGTCGCATAATACTGTGTACTTAATGACGCTGAATTATATACGGTCATTTGTCACTTAACAGGGATACGTTCTGAGAAATGCCTCATAAGGCTATATCAATGTGCGAACATCATGGAGTGCACTTACACAAGCCTCGATGGTCTACCCTATTGCTCCTAGGCCAAAAACCTGTATAACACATTACTGTGCTAAATACTGTAGGCAACTGTAATGCAACGGTAAGAACTGAATTATCTAATCCTATCTAAACATAAAATATGGAACACCTGTACAGGGCACTGACCATGAACGGAGCTTTCATGACTGGAAGTTTCTCTGAGTGAGTCAGCAAGTGAGTGGGGTGTGAACGTGAAGGCCTAGGGCATTACTGCACACTGCTGCAGACTTTATAAACACTGGACACTCAGGCGACACTAAATTTATCAAACACCACAAGACTGATTCAAGAGAAAATGGTGCAATCAAAAGATGAGGTAAACATAAAAATATGAGGCTACTGCCAGCATAATGTTTTACAGAAAATGTGTTTTATAAGTAGAAAGAGTAAACTATAAAATAATGATAAAAAGTATAAGGTATAGCATAGAGAGTATAGTCCATAATATTGTAATAACTATGTATGGAGTCAGAGGGGTACTAGACTTATCATGACGATCACTTTGTAAGGTAAATAAACATCTGTATACTATGCTGTACACCCAAAGCAAATATAATATTGTATGTCAACTGTAACTGAAAAATTTTAAAAAAATCAACTATAAAAAAGTTTAGTAAATACATAAACCAGTAACACAGTCACTTATTATCAAGTATTATGCCCTTTCCATAATTCTCATTGTGTGTGCTATACTTTCATACGACTGATGGCACAGTATTAGGTTTGTTTACGGTAATGATATAAGGATAAACAAATATATAAATGGGACAGGAGAGAAAATCCAGAAATAGATATAAATGTATACGGTCAACTGATTTTCTATAAAGGTGCCACAAGGCACCCTGGCTGGGTAGCTCAATTAGTGTTATCCCAATATGCCAAGGTTGTGGGTTCGACGTCCATTCAGGGCACATACAAGAAGCAACCAATGAATGCATAAATAAGTGGAACAACAAATTGATGTTTCTCTCTCTCAAATCAATAATAAATGGAGGATATCTGTAATACTCTCAACAATAAAAATAAATTTAAATAAATAAAATCAATAACATTTTTTTTAAAAACACCCTAAGAATTATGGAACTTTGATTTGCTAAACTCCAAACCAAACCTGTGAATATTAATTTACCATATGAGTCACAAGTCAATTCTAAGGTTAGGGGGATAGTTAATACTTTGTGTGGGCACTCTGCTTATATTTTACATGGATTATCCCACTTAGTTTTCTTGACAACCATATGAGATAAGGGCTATTAGCAAATCACCTCCATTTTAATTTGAGAAAAATGAGGCTCAGCAAGACTGAGTGGCCTGCCCAGGGTCACAGAGCTGTCAAGTGGTGGAACAGGTTGTGAACTCTGGCCTGTCTAGCTTCTGAAACAGGAAGACAGGAACCTGAAAAACCGTTTTCTACAAAGATCCAACTAAACCAAAACCAAATAATCAGGCCTTCGCTATCCTTCAAGCCTCCTGGCTACTTCCTGTCTCTAATTCACCCAAGACTGCTCCCCACCAAAAATCCTTTTAGAAGCTCCTCTAGCCTATTTTGAAGGTACGCTCAATTTTTGGTACCTGTGAGATGCCAAACTGCAAAAAAGCAATAGAATCAATCATGACTTCATTTATAAAGGAAACAAAGGAGGGGGGTAGTGTTTTAAGCAGTGACACCATTTTTTTTAAATGAATCTTATACTGGACCTCAATACAGAAACTAGGTAAAGGTAAAGCCACAGTCTCTGGAGAAGGTGCAGAGGTAAGTGCTATCCCCTCATCAGCCACTACTCTATGTGACCATGCCCTAAAAACATGTCCTTGGACTTCATGCTGAGGAGCCCTGGAGTTTTGGTCGATCCCCTCAGACTAAGTCAAGACCACTGCAACTTCTTTCAATACATGTCCCTCCCTCTCATCTCTCTGTCCTAAGTTGATATAAGCCATACTCAGGGCAATGTCCAAATCTGTCATTTGACTAGCTGCGTGCACCTGCTCAAACATGTCCATTATCCATCTACAGGGTCAGGCAATCCCCTCAGTCTGGTCCTCTTCATCCTGCCCACACCCACCACCCATCCTCAGCCCCTCAGCTCACAGCCAAGTCTCTTGGGTCCCACCCTTAGCACTAGCTCTGGGATCCAGAATTCGTAGCTGATATAACTGAGGACACACGGTCTGCTCCCATGAACTGTTCTTCCATTTTTTCTTGCATAACAGTCTTATCTCCTACAAAGTCATTAAAAAGGTCTTCTTCCTCCTTGGACTTTGGAATCAGGGAGCTCTGAATTTAAACCCTGGCTAATTACTGTTTGTGTTACATGAGCAAGTCATTTATTTTGAACCTGTTCTCTCAGGCCTGCTAGGAGAAGGAATTATTAATGAAGAAGATGATGTTATAGGGAAATGAGTATCTGTTGGTTTCCTTTCTCCCATCACACCATGCCTACCACAGTGGCAGACACACAGCGATTAATAATTTCATTACATTCCACCAACATGTAACAAGGACCCTGGCAAGTTTGCCCCAGTGGCAGCTAAAGAGATGTAGCTCTGCTCCTTGTGTGTCCTAATTTTAAGACTTCAAAAAGCCAGGTCTAGCAGTATAGGAACCAAACGTTTCAGGGAAATCACACTCAAAAGTGCCTGCCAAAGTAATGTAAGGTCCAACCACACTCTGATCCAGAAAGCTAAAGGGCAGCTTTAATGAGCTCACTGTGGCTTATAATGAGGGAAGGGACATAAAACCCAGACTGTTTTGAAAGCATTTGCAGCAAAGATGGACAGAAGTTTTCCTAGGGGAAAATACTGGCTGTCTCCCCACTACATGAAATCAGTGAGTGCACATTATTGAAAAACCGGGAAGAACTGGGCCTAGGGGGCTGGGAGGCTGAAAAGCATAGCAAATGGCTGTGTGGGTGGCAGAATTAGACCCCAGACGCCTGCCCCAGCTGCATACCTGTGAAAGCGTGCTGCTCTTGCGTTAAGGACACTTTCTTGCTGGTGCCATCGCCAGAGTCTTCTCCAAGCCTGGAAGGCCGCGGGCAGGGCTCTCTGCTGGAAGTGACCATCTGCTCTGGCCTGTAACAGCTAAAGTAAAATGATGAATGACCTTTATAGTACTTTACCTTAAAAAAGAAAATGACCTTTCAAGGTCACACTCTTAAGGGAGGTTTGCTTCCTACACAAAATTGAGAAAAAGATTAAATCATTAAAAAAAATTTTTTTTAATTTATTGATTTGAGAGGGAGGGAGGGAAAGAGGGAGGGAGACCTATTTGTTGTTCCACTTATTTATGCATCATGGGTTGCTTCTTTTATTTGCCCTGATTGGGGATTGAACCCTCAACCTTGGCAAATTGGGACGATGCTCTAACCAACTGAGCTACCTGGCCAGGGCAAGATGAAATCTTTTTTAATCTCTGCTAACACGATAGAGGAAATCTGAAATATGATAGGTGAAAACTGTTCAATTAAAAGTGGATTAAGTGTCACTTTGGATATTTATACGTGTGCATGCATATTTATATTTATCTAAATTTTTTCCTTATGGCCTAAGTGTTCATACCTATTGCCCGTTTTACTGTCAGCATGTAACTGAGTGATATATGCGGGCTTTTCAAACCTTAAGTAACTTATTAGTCCTTTGTCATGTAAGTTATCAATATTATTCCCACCCTGTAAAATAGCTTTTGATTTTGCTTATAATGTTTGCTTATAATACAGATTCTTTCAATTTGTATGTAATTATAGAAGGCTACTACTATTTCACTGATATATCAATAGGAAGACAAACAACTGGCATAATACATATATACCACCATGATACAAAACCTTGGCAAGGGAGAAGCATATATGTTTGTGTGGCAGTTTTTAAGACAGGACTGTAAATTCTTTAATCCTCCTTCACTAAGAAGTTATGTCCCCTCCCCTTGAATCTGGATGGGACAGTGGCTGCTTTGACCAACAGAGTATGGTACAAGTGACACTATGTAACTTCCGAATCTAGGTCATAAAGGTCCATACAGCTTCTGTCTTGTTCACAAGAACACTCACTTTTGGAGCCCTGAGCTGCAACATAAGAAGTCTCACTACCCTGAGGCCACCATGCAGTGAGGAAATCCAAGACTCTTGAAGAGCCCATATGTTGGTGGACACTCTAACCACCAACCCAGACCAGCTAGGGCTTCCCCAATATCTTCTGAAGGTCCCACTGGGTGACCAGCTAGCTAACTGACATAACAAATGAATTTCAGCAAAGATGTACATGGAATGAATGGCTGTTAAGTGCTCATCCCTTTCAGAGAACACCTGCATTTTCATAGCAGATGAGGGAATAGGAGTTATGCAGACTTTCCGACATCATAGAGGGGGTTGGGGGAAATATCTTTGAGTTTTTTCACAGCACCCTCCCTTCCAAATCTGAACACCAAGACCTCTTGGCATAGGCCTTTTGCAAGGATCTTTCCAAAGCAAATGAATCCAAGAATGTAAGCCAGCAGAGCTATCTGCTGTGAAGTACTTCATACCTGCTTATATCGCCTCTTCCGCATGTGCAGTAACCACAGCTTGATACATTTGCAAAGCAATGTTATTCTGAAATAAAACACAGAACACCAAGGTACTAATGCCCATTCCGCCTTCAGGTTTCAGGTTTTTAAATTTTTGTTTTGTTTTTGAGGCAGGTAAATTTAGGTGTGGTTACATCTTGAACGTTAAAGGCACCCCATGGGTTTCATTCTAGGAAAGAGGGAAATCAGAACCTGACATCTAACACGAAGTCCATTGACCATGATTTTGGGCTGTGGCTTGCCCAAAAATGTTTGACAACTTTCCTGTAAACCTAACTAGACCACCAAGTACAGCGTCTCTGGAATTTAGGTAATATGCATGAAATCCCCCAAATATCCTTATTTTATGACCCGGGACTTGTTTACGACCACCACTCTCCTTTCACACACCAATTCTCGAGAATGAGAACCACATTCAGTTCTTTCTGTAAACCTGGGTTTAGAATAATGATATACCCTGATAACTCCGAACTGAGTCAGTTAAACATTGGGATTCTTACTAACTTATTAAAAAATGCTTAAAAACTAGACTTATAACTAAGCAAATTAAGTGGATAAAACTGGCTTTTTTATGGGGATATACTGAACATTTCTGGCAGCAAAAAACTGAACAGTGGTTACCTCTGAAGAGTAAGACTAAGGGGCTGGAGGGAGGGACCCATGTAGCTTTTATTTAACTCTCTACCTTCCTTCCTATATGTCGAGTTTTCCTCATGGACATGTGGTACATTCATATATTTAACTGAATAATTAACTCTAAAAGTTGAGGACACTCTGCACCCTTCAAGACCAAGCCACAAATATTCACCTGGCCTAAGCCTTCTCTTTAACAGCACCAATGCATGAATTCTACAATGTGAACATCACTAAAGCCTGAAGAACTAAGGCAGTGAGCTAGCAGGCATATACTTCAAACTATGGTGGCCAAGAACCAGTACAAACACCCTCATTCCGCCTCTCCTCTGATCAGCCAAATGGAAAACACAAGCTTAGGAACCACTGGTTTACAGCAGGGCCTTTCTGAACCTGCTGCAGTAACACATGGAAGGGTAAGTGATCACTCCTGGAATACAGTGAGTCAGTCACAACAGTCCACGGAGAGCCCAAGAAGAAGGCTAGAGTCCCTACCTGTAGTGGTCCCAGGCAGCTCGCAATACAGGGAGGTGCCCTCTCTCCTCCCTCTGTTCAATCCGAGACTGCCAGAGGTTCCAGAACCTACGCAGGAGCTGAAGCAAAACAGGAAGAAAACAAGTTTATTAAGGCAAACTGATCTCTCTTAACGTATTAACAAATCCCTTCGTCAAAAGATTGTAAGGTCCCCCAAAGCAGGAATTACCTCAGTTTGGAGCACCCAACATATAACAGGCTTGCAAAATGATTATGGTGAAGCTATATGAAGCTATCTGGGCCAACATAAAAAGCAAAATCAAGGATCTTCCAGCTACGGAAAACAGAAGCTAATTCTAATCTGGGCCTTGCGGGAGACAATGCCATTGAAGAAATTAAAAGTGATCCTATCCCATATTACTGCCTATGAAGTAGTCTTGCCAAAAAATGTTTAACTTCAATCTAATCAACCTCTTAGATCTGCTAATTTATAGGAGTTATGTAAAAAAGGAAAATCAAATCACATCCAAAGGAAATAGATAAATTGAGAATACGGAAAATTGTACAAAGTAACTGGCCTTCCTTTTCAAAAAGTCAATGTCATTTAAAAAAACCATGTACGTTATGCTCAGTGAAATAAGCCAGTCACAAAGGGCCAATACTATAAATACGAGGTACCTGGAGTAGTCAAATTCATAGATAAGAAAGGAGAATGGTGGTTGCCAGGGGTTCGGGGGAAGGAGAATGGGAGTTATTGTCTATGGGTAGTTTCAGTTTGGGAAGATGAAAAAAGTCCTAGAGATGGATGGTGGTGATGGTTGCACAATAATGTGACTGTCCTTAATGTCGCTGAACTGTACACTTAAAAATGGTTTAATATGATGTGTATTTTACCAAAATTAAAAAATAAACATGTTAAACAAAAGAAGGGGGGAGACAGAGGGATTGTTATTAAGGTTCTTAGCCTTAAGAGACATAACCAAATGTAGTGAGTAATCAATCCTTAACTGAATCCTGGTTTGAAAAAAACATCTATAAAGACATTCTGAAGGCAATAATGGAAACTTGAATATGAGCTATACTGGATAACAGGGAATTTCTGTTCATTTTGTTAGGGATCATAACGGTAGTTACATAAGAAAATGTTCTTTTTAGATGGTGCATGCTCAAATGTTTAGATGTAAAGTGCCAGGATGTCTGCAATTTACTTTGAAATGATTCAGACAAAAAAAGGAGGCAAATATAGCAAGTATTACCAACTGTTGAATTTAGATGGTAAATATATAGTTGCTTATTACACTATTCTTTAGGTTTTTCTATACATTTGAACATTTTCATAACTAAAACCAAATCAAGAGCCCTGGCCAGTGTGGCTCAGTTGGAGTGTCATCCCATGCACAGAGGGGTTACAGGTTCGATTCCCAGTCAGGGCACACACCCAAGTTGCAGGTTCAGTCGCCAGCTGGAGCGCATATAGGAGGCAACCGATCAATGTTTCCCTCCC